CAAAGAGTGTCGCAGACAAAAAAAAAAAAAAAAAGGTTGAGAAACACTGTCCTATGGGAAGGTTAGGTCAGTGTGTTTTGTCTGGAGGCAGTGATGAGAATAGGAAAGGGCAATCTGACTTTTATGTGCTGTCACGTTGTAGGAGGATGAAAACAAAGGAGACTGCTAGCCCTCAGTGCACTCCAGGAGACAATTAGACGTTGAGGGGAAGGTTTGCCTGTTGGGTTAAACTTCCTCCTTCCCCATCTGGGTGTTATAGCAACTACAGTGTTAGCTACAGAATGACCTGATACAATGTGGTTACTGCAGGGACACGTGTTGAAGGAGGGTTGGGATCAACCAGTGTATTTTTTGTTCTCCAGGAGCATTGGGAAGTAATTGACTGCGTCCAGGAACTGAGCCACTCGGTGAACAAACTCTTCAGTCTGGCTTCTGGAGCCATCGACAACTGCGTTAAACTCACCGATGGGCTGGGGGTGTGTGGGCTGCTGAAGGCACTGAAAGCTCTGTTCAAAAAGTAAAGCATTTTCTGTCTTTCTAATACACTTATCCCTGGCGAGTGAGCGAGTGTTCAACAGGTGGCTCTGAATGCAATGGGGGGCAAGCCTGAGGACTTTGTGGTTTGTGATATCGTCACGTTTCTATAGACACAGCTAGTGTTGAGCATAATCCCTTCCCTTGTGATCTGCCACTCGGCTCAGCCAATAAAGATCCCTCGACTTGTTGCTTTTCATGAAAAGTGGAAGTTAAACATGCATGGAGGTAAAGCTCCTCATAGCCACAGTATGCCTGAATTGTCATTGATGAAGTGCCTAAAAGCACTTCTGGGAAAGAACCACTTCGGAGAGGACCTAATAGAAGAGAGGCATGGTAGGCTGGTGAGCATAAACCTCAGTGGGGAAACGTGTACTTTAACGTGCACAAGTGACCTTCCACTTACAGTAGTTGCTGCATACCTTCCCTGTAGAACGAGTGGCACTAATTAGAGGCAATGTATTTTTTCCTATTAAATCTATTACATACTCCCATTTAAGAGAGCATTCCAGTACTGATTTCCCCTACTTATCCTTTTTGCCCTGGGCCAAGGCAGCTGCTAACCTTGCATAAACTAAGCCTTGGCATCAGTGCATTCTTGTGGGGAGTTCTGTGGGGAGAGCCCTATTCTGTGAGTAGGTGAAAGCAGAGCACTGCTCTTCGATGAGGGAGCGAGAGACCTGCGAGCAGCAGGAGCCTCTGACTTTGGCTCATCTGCTCTAGAAGAGAGCAGTAATGCTTGTGACACCGGAAGTGCTCTGCTCATACCTGCTTGATAACCGTGGCTTCCTGTCACTTAGATGCAAAGCAGTATTACTGCTTCAGCTATTCTGACTGGTGCTCTACCCTACCCCCTTGTCCTCCGGGTTGGGCCTGGACCTGCCACTGCTGGCCACCTCCAGCCTGCAAATGTCGGGACTTGGGCTGGAGCAAGGAATACTTCCTTTGTGCTCCTCTCCTTGTTCAAGTGCCTCTGGCTCTTTGCCTGAGACGAAGCGAACTGCTCATAGCAAGTGCCATTGCTGTAGTCTGAGGTCTTATTCCATTGTCTGTCTCTGCTCCATCTCTTTACACAGGTATGTGTCTGACTTCACTACTACTTTGCAGTCCATAAGAAAGAAGTGCAAACTGGATGATATCCCCTCGGATTCCCTCTTCCAGGAGGACTGGACCGCATTCCAAAACTCTATCCGGTAACGTGACCGTATGAGCCGGGCTCTTGAGAAATGGTGCCTGGTATTTGGTCCTGAGGGCGAGCTGGTTTTTAGGTGAAAATGGAAGGGGGGGAAGGTCACTTTTATTGTCTTCGGCCTGGGGATTTTAGCTCCTTTTTTTAGCTCCTTCTCTATTGCTGGAGACTCCCTTTCAGACGTATGAAGAATCCCCACTCCCATTTCCCCTTTTTTTTTTTTTTTGGTCTAATTCTGAGTCTCTTCGCCCACCCATACTCTGTTAGTTTTGAGTAGAGCTGAAATTAACTAATGGTTTTCTTTGTGGCAACAATTGAATGAAAGCTCTCTGACATCTTCTCCTGCACACAAGCCTGCGTGGTAGTGTTGTCACTACTGTGGAAAACAGTGTTTCTAATTTGATTGCTTCTTCAGAGCCAGGCTGCTTGGGGAGAAGGGAAGGCAGGACACTCTATGGTGATAGTGGCTGCAAAACTAGAGGGGTTTTTGTTCTTCATTTTTAAAAACATCTCCTTAGTGGGATGGAGAAGTGATAATTTCTGAAAACCCTAACAAACCCCAAGGCAGTTGGAACCCCGGAGCCTTTGTCTCTCAGGCCGTAACCATCTGAATGCTTAAGAAAGGGACACTCCATAAGCTAGTATGATCTACTTTAAAGTTGGTTTGATATCAGACAAATGTGGCTCTGATGGGCCCTGCTAGTTCAGTTTCACATAGGGCTATGTCTACATGGCATCTAAATTAGTGGAAGTGTTAGTGGAGATTGAACGTTAGGTGTCTGTTGGCATTTTAGGCACCGTGTTGACTAATTCTGCTCAGAGCAGGACACATCACTTAAAATAGCAACAGTCACTAGGGCTCCCACCATTGGAGCTGAGCTGGTGTTAGCCATGGTGGGAATAGTGCAGACCTGGCTACAGTGCGACTTCAACAGGAGAGAGTGAAGGTATGAGCATCAAGTTACCTGCCAAGCTGAAAAAGTGATTCCTACCATGGGGAGAGCTCTCACCAATCACCCAGTGAGGAACTTTATTCCCAGAGACTTGCATACTAAGGCTAGATGGCGTGAGGGAGAGTCTAGGAACCTTTGTGCTGCCTACCCCAGGTTCACAGTGTGGTGTGTTTTGTTCTGTTCCCTCCCAGGATAATAACTACTTGTGGCGAACTCCTTCGGCAGTGCGGGGACTTTGAGCAGCAGCTAGCAAACAGGTAGGAAATGCTGGGGTTAGCGTGCAAGCCGTATGCGTGTCTATCCAGTTAAAAGGAACCAAACCCCAAGGGGCTCCGTCTGTATGGAGGCTACAGAAGGAACGCAAGAGCCAATGAACTTTGTTAATGGCTGTGGAAAAGTAGTGACTTTGTGTACGCTGCCTGTCCACCGAGGTGTCCCTGGTCAAGACCCAAATGTGTAATGGCCTATAAAATGGAGGGGGATAAGGGAGGCAACAGCTTGAAACGTTATGGGGTTATAAAATGAAGCTGGGCTTCCTAATGAGGGACGGTTAGAGAGAGAGGTAAGAGCATGCACTGGCCGAGTGAGACAGCGTAGATGCTATGCTGTGTGGAATTGAGGTTCCTGGGAAGGCAGGAAATGCAGCCAGTAAAGTTTCCTCCTCCTGCTGCTGCTGCTGTTGGGAAGTTCTGATGAGCAGCTTATTGACAAAGCCCCGTGCCACCGGTCTCTTATCAGGAGCCATCTTAGTGACTTCCAGGAGATTCAGGAGCTAGGTAAATAATCAGGCCAGACAAAAGGAGCATGCCCTGTAGTGCTGAGGTGTCTGCTTGTCCATGGAGGATTCTGTAAATCACCAGCTAATGGGAACTTAATTTTCCGTGTACAAAGAATGGCGTTTGGGGATGACTGGGAGAGCAGGTAAGGGGACATTTTACAGAGGATGCCCCAACTCTTAACCCCTTAAACCTAGGACTGGTTTTGTGGTTGGGTTGTCTCCCATCCTGATTTTGGGGGTGAGATTCTGGCGTGCTGCAAGCTTATTATTAGAGTCCCTACAGATATCTGTAGCTGCGGTGTGTCCTCACATTGCCACATGGGAGCAAGTTTCTGCTGCAGATAGATCTGTGGAATGGCCACCTTATGTCTTAGAGATGTTCCTTTGGCCCTGGAGGGCTCCCTCTGGGACTTATGCTCCAAGATTGGCTGCTGGAGTGAGGTGGAGGTCACCACAGAGCAACACATGGCACCATTTCTGCCAACTGTGGTAGGGAGGATGTGAAATATAGTAGGGCAGAGTGGACTAACCACAGGGCCCGGTAGAGGCTGCTTCACTTGTTTGTCAAAGTTTAAAAAAAACATGTGGAGGGCAGGGGGCCTGTTAGCTTTCTCTGCTTTATTTCTCAAGCTGGAGCCTTGTGTGTCAGTAAAGCTGGTGATGCTGAGATGGGGCCTCCTAGAAGGGACGGGGGGAGATTCCAGGCAGGGCTGGGGCGGGGGCCATGGGGGAAGCTCAGGAATTCTCTTGGCGCAACCCAGTGCCAACTTCAGTGGAGTTTGCTTTTAACTTTTAGTCATGTTGGTTGGTTTCAGGATTTTATCCACTGCTGGGAAGTATCTGCTGGACTCCTACAGCCCTTGTAGCCTGTCTGGCTTTCAGGATGCCAGCTCTGCGGAGAAGAAGAACTCAGTCAAGAACCCCTGGCAGGAATACAACTACCTCCTGAAGGAGACTCCGTCTGAGTATGCCAGCCTCATGGAAACACTCCATACCCTAAAGGTAGGACTGCAGTGCTGCCCAGGACACATCTGGCAGTTGGGGCCACTGCCTGGTCACATGCCTCCATAACAGCAGCCTGTTGATTGGGAAGGGCGTTCCAAGTTCTCCTGACACACCCAGTCCCAACAGAATGGAATGTCCAGAGCTGTGAGGCTCTGGGCTAACTCCCTCTCTCTGAAGCGCAGAGCTCTGGTTGTGTGCAGTTCAGATGAGATATCCCAAGCAAGAGGCAATGGAAAGTTTGTATTTGAGGGCCACCTTGAGCTTCAAGTCTGGTCATTGTCTTCCCAAGACTTTCTCAGCAGGTTACACTCTGCTGGTGTACCCATCCTGAACCGTAATTCTGCATGTGCATTCATGCGTGCGTCTGTGAACAGGGTAAAGCAACCCCACTTATCTTCAGTACTGATCTAATTTATGTATGTTTGCCTTCATTAGAACATTTGTAATAATAAACCTAAGTTATTTGTTCTGTCTTCCTTATTTTCCCAGGGTGTTCTGAATTTTTTGGTACTTAAATTACATATAACTCATGCATCGCTACCCTCAATATTACGCATTTGACTTGTGTAGAAATAACATAGTTACCTCTCTGTATTCAGCCTTCTCTATACCAACTTTTTGTGCAAAGCTTTTCCTTGATTCCACACAGCAGGCCAGTTGCTTGTGCCCTTTGACCATGGTCATCTAAAGGTCATGTTTGTATTCCTCCTCCTTATTTCTGTAACTTCATAATAGCTTTAGTGAGCAAATGGATTATATTATCTAAGTTTTCTTTTAGTGATTGCCTGGCAGAGTGCAATAAAATCTCTGTGCTGTTGCCAGCCCCTCCTGCAAATGGGCAGCGGAGTTATACGGAACCAGGGGAAATCTTTTGGTTGGATTGTGACTATTCAGCTTTGGTTTGTACTGCCTGGGGGGTGGCGAGGGCGTGCTGCTAGGAGTCAGCCGCAGTTTCTTGTGGGGAGTGCATACTGCCGTGGCAGGTCTTCCCCCCTTTCAGCAGGTACAGCTGTGCTCCCCTCCGTGCCTGACCAGGTCTGCTGGCTGGTGTGGAGCGGATGTGGTGGTGGAGGGTGCCACCCTTCCCTGTCCCCTTTCAGGGATCTTGCTCCCTAGGGGCCTTGAGTAGGAAGGGGAGGTAGTGCTCTCCACTGGTACTGTGTCTGGCCCTTGCGGGATAAGGATCCTTTGTGCTGAGCCCAATCAAAACCTTTCCTTCTAATATCTTAACCTAGGCCTCCTATGATCAGTTAAGTGACATCTGTATGTAACTTCCTTTCTGTGTTAGGAGAAAGGGACGAGTAACCACAGCCTGTTGTCCGCATCTCGATCTGCCCTTACCCACCTCAACCAGCTAGCGCACCAGTTGGCATTTGACTCTGTTTTCCTTCGCATCAAACAGCAGCTCTTACTGATTTCCAGGATGGAGGTAAGTTCGCTGGCTGGATGATTCCACTGATCGAGCATAGCGAGTGGGAAAACCTGGCATGGATCTCTCCGCACACTGTATGGGAGCCTGGGACTAGTAAGCCCTCATTGCCTCTCTACTGGATGCCCTCACACCTATGGGGATTTCTGTTTCCTCAGATGTAAACTCCCTTCTTGGAGCTGTGCTCTTGCTTCAATGGAGAGCCCCAACAGACCCACCACCACTGCATCATCTGCTGGGATTTGTGTCTTCAGCATTCCCACATTTCTATGAAAATCATTAATTTCAATTATGTTCAAAGAACCGTGAGGAGTGTTTTAGAGGAGGGGTCTTTCCACAGTCCTTGGCTTTCTTTAGGAGTCCACTGGCAATCACGATCCCTGTTACCATATGACCCCCCTCCCTTTCTTTGGGGCTGCTACTCATGCTGGCTGAAGAGAGCTTTGACTGGTTCTCTGCTTGACTCCTTCCTAGGGCTGGAGCTCAGCTGGCATTGGCGAGACGCTAACAGACGACCTGCCAAACTTCAGTCTGACTCCTCTTGAGTACATCAGCAACGTAAGAGCACATGGGGATCGTTTCTAGAAACGGCTGAATCTTGGGGGACTCTGTAATTTGGCTGTCTGAGTATTTTTGTTCATTGTATGAGGGCAGGAGTTGCTGTTTTGTTGGTTCAGATCCCTACCTCTAGGATTTCTGTTCACCGCTCTGAGGATTTTAGGCAATTGTTGGATAGGGACCTCTTGTAAAGGGTGCCAGGAAAGCACTGTGGTTTCTGGAGAGCCCAGGAAAGGTGGTGAAAAATGACCTCTCTGTTGAGTTGTGTTAACACTTGTACTGGGGTGGGTTACGCTGCCGCAAGTCCTCGGCACCCCCCTGCTTGCTTCCATAGTAACTATGGAAAAGTGGCATCTTTCAGCATCTCTTCAGTCATGCAGCTCTTGGAGAGGCTAACTCAGCAGAGTAATCACACCGAGCACATAGGGCTGGAGTTCCTGCCGTATGCTGGGATGACTTTGTCATTATTGATTTGAAAAGAGCTTGATCTCTTTTCCCCTCGGTACCTGGGAGCCTCTCCAGTCTCCCTTTGTGCTGCAGAGATAATCTTCTGGTGCTGGGATGGCAAGAGTGCATGGGGGCCGTGAGCCTCGCTGCATTGTTCTTGCTGGTTGGTCTTGCTGGCTATATCTGTTTAATCCTTGCTCACCAGCAGAGGCTTGAGGACTGCTCCCTAACCTCTTCCAACTGCTGCTTCTCATTATTGCCTCTAAATGGGCCGGGGCAGTAATTCCGAAGCCTGTGCCAGTGAGTAAAGATCAGTCCGATACTCAGGAGAATTGCACTGACCTACTGGCTGCTGATTGCTCACTCCACCCCAAGTGTAATTTGACAAACAGGAGGATGTGTGCTCATCACTGTGATGTGCCCAGGGCAGCACTGCTCTCATTCTGCATGTCTCACTCTCAGACATGCACAAGGAATAGACCCTGAGGGGTATGCCCCAGCTGAGCGCTGAAGGGAGGGCCTGAGGCCATAGGATGCGGTCAGTTCATTTCCGGTGTTGGCATTCTGAAATTTGCCTCTCCCCGTTGCATGTAGATACCAAGAGTTGGTAGCCTGCTGAACTTTGGGGTCATTTCCCACTTATTTCTAACTTCAGCCACCTGGGAGGCTTCTGTTACAACACAAGGTTCCTCGGCAGTGTAGCAGGAAGAAAAGAGAGGGGACACCCAGCCACCACATTCTTGTAACCAAGCTGCTGATGCAGACTGCCTGAGAGAGGCCCTGGTGGAATTGATGAAAGTGATGGATAGGTTTGGCAGCAGTGGAGTGCAATTTTAAACCAAGCACATCATGGCATCAATTAGGGTCACGTTCTGTAGGGAATTTGAGCCTTTATGGGCCCAGGAGGGGCTTCTGGGACTTGTTCAGATATAGAAAGTCTATTTCCTTTCCCAAGCACTCTTCAACCTGTGATTGAGAGGGGAGCGTGATTTATGGATTGAGACAAGTGGGAGTCTCCTTGGGTGGCCCCCAAACCAAGCTGCTGCATGGCCAAAAAGCTACAAGTGCCTTTTAAAATCAAATCCACGTAACTAGCCGTTATATGTAGAAGAGAGAGAGCAACATGAGCTCAGTAAAAGAGATGTTAATGAGACTCAGTCAGCTCTCCAGAGGACCAGTGGGTGAAGGCAGAGTGCTCTGAGCTGTACCTCTGCCCAGAGCAGCCTGTCCGGGGCATACAGGCAATCGGTGTGCAAAGGACAAGGGTCATGCACTCCTGCCTGGGTTTGTGCGGCCTCAGTGGCATTCTGGGAAGGATCGTGTCTGTAAACTTATTCTCGTGTAACGTGATCCTAAGGTTCCTGTTCCCTGATTTCGCTCAGAGCAGACTGTTTGATTCCCATCTACAAAATGAATCACCAATAATTCCTGTAGGGGTCAAGGATGCAGTTATAGGTGTGAATCTGTGTCCCAGTTTTTCTTGTCATTGTTGCTCCTGTAACTGGGCCTTGACCTCTTGGAAAATAAACGTTGTTTGTTTAAAGGGAATTAATGGCCAGCGAGCGATGGACGTCACTTCCTGGCGTAGTGTATGTTGGTGAGCTGCTGTCACGGTCTGTGTTCAGACCTGGTAGGTGGGGATTCCTCTCATTCAGTGACGTGCCCACTTAATGCACAAACCTTAATAGCTCAGTGTCACACTTACAGTCCTTTTCCTTTTTATCCTAGATTGGACAGTATATCATGTCCCTCCCACTTCATCTCGAGCCATTCGTTACTCAAGAAGATTCTGCTCTGGAACTAGCCTTACATGCTGGAAAACTGCCGTATCCTCCAGAGCAAGGTAGGACAAGACCGATTCCCTGAGGTGTCTGGAGGACAGCCTGTGTTTAGCATTGCAGGGGATGAGGCCATGTGAGGTTGATTTCCCTGCTGATGTGGTACCTTACTGTGTAACCATATAGTGCCTTCCAATTGTCCCTCACTAATACTCACAATGAGACCGTAGTTAATGAGGAAAACTTCAGCACCTTCACTGAAACCGGAAGCGTTAGGTCAAGCTGTGCTGATGTCTGTATTGGGGGAAGTTGCTCTGCAGAGGGGATGAGCCCCCATGGGGGGTATGTGTGAGAGTGAAGAGATGAGTCGGTTAACGAGCCAACCCAATGCATTATTTAGTTCTCTAGGAACTGTCTCACGATCAGTGTGAGTTCCTGGGAAATGCTGTGTGGTTACCTTTGGGTGTTGAGTTCAATCACAATTGTAGCTGCACTTGATGTGTTCACTTATTTCTAGCTCTAAGTCTTCATTATTTGTGACAAAGCCATGGAGCTGTGCTGTCAGCGTGGAAATGTCCATCATGAGTACCACTCTTTGGCTGGCACCAGACCACTGATGTTTGAGAGAACCACTGTCCACAGAGAAGCTGTTTGGATCATTTGTCTAGCTATTTAAAGATCGTATGATCTCAGCACTATAACAAGCCATACCTAAGTAGCACATAGTGACACAAAAGTGGACAGAGAGTGCTGGGGGAAGCAGATCTAGGTTTCATTCCTAGCTCAGCCACTAACTCATTGTGCACCCTGGGCAAGTCGCTTCACATCTGTCTGTTTCAGTCACTGCATCTGTAAAATGGGAACAACACTACTTCCTCTTCAGCTTTGTACCGTGCTCTGAGCTGCCTGGGAGAACAGCACTACACGAGTGCCAAGAATGATGATTAATTAAAGTATTAAATGAGGGAGGATAACATTGAAACAAATTCACCACTTTGGTTGAGTCTCTTCTAAATAACATCAATGCCTGGCCTGTCAGACACCATCCCTGTCTCTTGCCCTCTGGTCCCATAACCCTGCTCAGGGGTTAAATAAGCTTGTGGCATCATGTCCAATCATCTCACCTTCTCCCCGCTCTCCTCCCTTCTGTTCCTGAGTCTCCCAGTGCTTCCACCCAGCCATCAGCTGTTGGTATGTGACTGGCTGAAGCAGGTGGGCACGGCCCTGAATGTGGTGAAGTTGAGTGGTGTTTTCAAGGAAACCGCTTCACTCACTGCAGTACTGGTAGTCCTCTTCGAGCCCTTGTAGCTGGCAGGAGTGAGGTTTCTGTGAGCGCTGCATTTGGGCCCTCCTTTGTGTTTCTCAAAGACCTCAAATGAGGCTTTTGGCTTTAATAAAATAAAAAATATATGGAGATATACCTATATCTCCTAGAGCTGGAAAGGACCCCGAAAGGTCATCGAGTCCAGCCCCCTGCCTTCACTAGCAGGACCAAGTACTGATTTTGCCCCAGGTCCCTAAAGTGGCCCCCTCAAGGATTGAACTCACAACCCTGGGGTTAATAGGCCAATGCTCGAACCACTGAGCCTATCCCTGCCCCCTGACCTGTCCCTCAATTCTGTGTTACCTCTGTGCTTGTACCCTGACATGGCATGGAAAGCTGGCCTGGATAGCTGCTCATGTGACATGGATGCCAGTGCAGATATGTGCATACACAGGGCAGGCGATATTGGGGGTATGCTGGATTGCCGAGCAGCTTACTAGACATACTATAAAGAACAATAATTATACACAATGTTCATGTTTCCAACCTGCCCTTGTACCCAGATTGGCGTAAATAAGGATTATCAAGGGCTCTTCCTTCTGCTGTTGCTAATCAGATCACTCAGACCTCCCTGAGAGCTGAAGGAAAGCACCTGTAACTTGATTTCCTCATTCTATCCCCTTAATGTTAAATTAAATTGTAAAGTGGCTTGGTCTGCAGTGTTTAATCTCTTATGGACATTTGTTTTCACTGACAATTGAAGCAGTGTATGGCTTGATGCTTTGTGTTCCTCATAAGAACGGCCATACTGGATCAGACCAATGGTCTATCTAGCCCAGTATCCTGTCTGCTGACAGCGGCTAATGCCAGGTGCCCCAGAGGGAGTGAACAGAACAGAGCAATCGTCAAGTGATCCATCCCCCGTCATCCACTCTTAGTTTCTGGCAGTCAGAGGTTTAGGGACCCCAGCGCATGGGGTTGCATCCCTGTCCATCCTGGCTAATAGCCATGGATGGACTTAAATCCATAGAAAATATCTAATTCTTTTTTGAACCCAGTTATAGTTTTAGCCTTCACAACATCTCTTGGCAATGAGTTCCACAGGTTGTCCGTGCGCTATGTGAAGAAGTACTTCCTTTTGTTTATTTTAAACCTGCTGCCTATTAATTTCATTGGGTGACCCCTGGTTCTTGTGTTGTGTGAAGGGATAAATAACACTTCTCTGTTCACTTTCTCCACACTATTCATGATTTTATAAAGTCTATCCTATCCCCGCTTGGTTGTCTTTTCCGAGATGAATAGTCCCAGTCTTTTTAATCTCTCATGTGGAAGCTGTTCCATAACCCTATTCATTTTTGTTGCCATCTCTGTATCTAATTCCATTTCTAATGTATCTTTTTTGAAATGGTGCAACCAGAGCTGCACGCAGTATTCAAGGTGTGGGCGTACCATGGATTTATATAGTGGCATTATGATATTTTCTGTCTTATTATCTATCCTTTTCCCAATGGTTCCTAACATTCTGTTCGCTTTCTTGACTGCCGCTGCACATTGAGCGGAAGTTTTCAGAGAACTATCCACCGTAATTCCAAGATCTTTCTTGAGTGGTAACAGCTAATTTAGACCCCATCGTTTTGTATGCATAGTTGGGATTGTTTTCAATGTGCATTACTTTACATTTATCAACACTGAATTTCATCTGCCATTTTTTACCCAGTTTATGAGATCCCTTTGTAACTCTTCACAATCTGCTTTGGACTTAACTATCTTTAGTAATTTTGTATCATCTGCAAACTTTGCCACCTCACTGTTTACCCCTTTTTCCAGATAATTTATGAATATGTTGAACAGCACTGGTCCCATAAAGATCTCTGGGGGACCCTGTTATTTACCTCTCTCCACTGTGAAAAGTGACCATTGATTCCTACCCTTTATTTCCTGTCTTTTAACCAGTTACTGATCCATGAGATGACTTTCCCTTTTATCCCATGACTGCTTACTTTGCTTAAGAGCCTTTGGTGGTGGACCTTATTAAAGTCTTTCTGAAAGTCCAGTTACACTATATCCACTGGATTGCCTTGTCCATGTGCTTGTTGTCCCCTTCAAAGAATTCTAATAGATTGGTGAGGCATGATTTCCCTTTACAAAAGTAATATTGACTCTTCCCCAACAAATCTTGTTCATCTCTGTGTCTGATAATTCTGTTCTTTACCTTTTCCTCCTGTAGCTTGCTAAGAATACGACGTGTGGTTTAGCTTTTGATGTTAATGATTTTGTCTCATTAAAGTATTTTCGTATTTAAAAGGGTTTCGTTAGCTTTTAAAACACCTCACGTGTAGCAGTGAACAGAGGATGCCTTGCATGCATACGTTCTGCAGGGACCTTTGTTGCTTATTGGAGGGCTTCTCCATGTCTGAATTAGAGAAAAAGTGCTGGCTCTGGAACCTAGCCCACTGCTGTGCATGATTGCCTCACATCACTATGGAAATGACTTGATGAAGATGAGTAACATGAAGAGAGAGTGTTGTGTATTTAGCTACCTTTTAATGTGAGCTAGCAGCTGATAACAAGGATAAGAGCTAGCACCAATCACCACCCCACTCTCCATAGACCTGTCTGTCTAAGTTCCGGTACCTTAAAGTTTTTAGATTAAGCTGACTTTTTCTTTTACCTAGCACAAAATTCACCCCCCACTACAGACTGAGCATGCGCAGACTGGTCGGGGTTCTGATGGCTAATGAGAACTTTCTGTTCAGGTGACGAGTTACCTGAGCTGGACAACATGGCTGACTACTGGCTAGGTTCCATCGCCAGAGCTACCATGCAAACCTACTGCGAAGTTATCCTGCAGATTCCAGAGCTCACCCTTCACTCAGCGAAGCAGCTTGCCACGGACATTGGTGAGCGCAGAACACACACTGTCTGAGCTGCTTCTCCCTAGCAGGCCTTACTCTCCTAGACCCCAATCCTGCAGTGTGCCAGTAACCTCCCAAACGGTGTGGTTTGCTGCCATTTCCTAGTGGGCTTTTTGGGAGATGAGCGTTTGTAAAGGAGCTGCTCGATATCTTGCAGATCAAGGCTTTTGATGCTGTTGCAGCTAACAGCTGAGATGGCTGGTTAGTAGTTCAGTCTCAAAGCCCATCGTTCCCTATTGGTGAGCTGCAGTCTGGCACACGCCCTTAGTGCCAAGACACACTCTGAGTGAAATGTCAGCTAGTAAAACTGCAGAAAGAAACCAAGGGGTCAGAGTTAGAACCCGACAGCTTTGTTTGGCAAGGCTTGTCTCCTGGACACTTGGAGAATCTGGGCCTTTCCAACAGGTGTTGATGGGTTGGGGAGAGAAGTGATTAGTCTGTGCAGTTACTGAAATGTAGCACCCTGTGCCTCATTCCTCTGACCAAAACCACTGATCACGTAAAGCAGTAACCGAAGATCCAAAATATAAGACGGGAGCCAGCCGCTATAAGATTCCAGCCGCTTTTCGGGTGCTGTGAATTAGTCTGAACTAGTGCTGATGGACAGAGGACATCTGGGGTAGTGCTCTGGGGCAGAATTGCCATGACACTACTTTGGGGACTGTTTGACATAGTAACTGTTGCCTGTTTAAATACATTTTGTCCTTCAATCTTGTAGATTATCTGATAAATGTGATGGATGCCCTCGGCCTTCAGCCTTCGAAGACTCTACAAAACATTGTTACTCTATTGAAGACCAAACCAGAAGACTACAGGCAAACAGCCAAAAGCTTGCCCCGCAGGCTAGCAAGCAACATCGCCACCATGAGAAGTGTGGACTATTAACTCCAAGCCCTCGAAAAACACCAGCAGGGGAGGTCTTGGCTAAAGGCTAAATTTCGTACATTGAATTTTTTCTCCAATAAACTTTCCAAGGATGATGGGAATGTAGTTGGGGAAAAGAGGAATTTATTTGTGACTCATTTAATACATTTTCTTCATTTGGAAATGTTGCGAGAGCTCTCCAGGTGTTTTGAACTACGAAATGGAAAAGAAAAATGTCTTAATGACCACATTTCCCTTTAGCCATCTGGGTGACCTGGCTGCGTTACAGCTGTCTTGTGACAAGTGTTCTGACGCTAGCCGGAGAGTACATGCCGCATGACAATGAAATGATGGGCTTTTTTAGTGCAGTCTAATTAATGCGGAGTGAAATTACAGGGTATGTGCAGCGTGGATCAACTGAAATGAGGACTCTCCTACCTGCAGGCAATGCGCATTGCTCAAGTCTCTCATTATCCACAATCTCATGAAGGTGGTGTCTCAGCAATTAGCAGAAAAGGCAGGACCAAACTAAGCCCTGACAACAAAACCAGTTTAGTAAGTTGTTTCTCAGGAGATTTTCTTCCTTCTGAAGCTATTGGGAAGCTTCTAGGGAATTGGATGTAGCAGTGTTGTAGTCTTCTTGTGAAATGGATGCAAGTGTGGTGTGTGGGTTTTTGCGAAAAGGCTTATCTAATCTAGGAACGCTTCCAAGGGTATAGGCTCGGGGAAAGTATAAACTGATCCCACTGTTGGGATTTTGGCTGTGTGGGATCATGGTTGATACAAATGCCACTAGGGGAAACTCTGCAAGGCTCAGCTTCTGGGAACCTTTTTTGGGTGAATCAAGTCTTAGAAATTTAAAATGCCTGATTTTTTGAGGGGGAGGGAGGTGGTGGTGTGGTACTAGAAGAATTTCCCTGGAACATCTGCACCAATGTAGTGTCAGTCTGAACTGCTTTTCCAAGCTACCTATAGAATTTGATACTTCATCTGCAACATTACTTTAACCAGTTTTTTTGGCAAGAGAGGAGTCCTGATCTGGAATGCAAACCAACACAAATATTCAGGTGTGTCTTGATTCTAAGCACAGGCTGTACCCGAAAGGGATTACGACTCTCTTGGTTGCTGGCAGCAGCAGCCCTGAGGTTTTACTGCTCTCCTATCCGAATGGAATCATCTATTTGACAGTGAACTTCCCTCCTCTGAAGTGTACCTTTTATCTGGTGTGTACTTAAGAAATGTGCAGTTACAGCCCATACAACCAAATAAAAATGAAACCTCTCTACTGCAGAGTTGATTTTCTTTCTCTTTTGCTCTAGCACTTTGTCCTTTCTCCCTCTTTTTCCAGCTAGAACAGAGGCATTTTCCTGATCTCAGTTGGTCCTTTCTGGATTTGCTGAATGCTCTGCCAGAGAGGAACCCATTCATCATGGATCATCTTCACAGATACCCCCTTGTCTTGAGTTCTGTGCCAGACTCCTCCATGCAGATGGGGACATGCACTTAATCCCCATTGCAGCAGTGACCTGATCTTCAGCCATGTGTCTGTTGTTCCTCTGCAGCACTCATTCCCCAGGCAGCTTTCAGGATCAGTAAAAAGCATGCACCAGACCTATAAACCTCTCTCAAGATGGGGGGAAATCAGAAGACACAAAGGAATCAAGTGGCTTTTAAGGATATTGGTCTCTAAACAATACTTCACACTGCTTCATTTTTACTGCTACGTGGCTCCTGTCCCTGTAGTTCAGCAGGGGTGGGGTGCTGTGTCCTTCCAGAGGAGATGCCAGTTCTCATGGTGAGTTGCACAGGGAAGGGTGTGCTAGGTCAGAAGTGCTGTTCCAGCAGCCCCCAGCTCCTGAGACTCTAATAATGTAATTTATACACCCGGAGCTCACTGTCTGAGCACCTCAACAAAAATACCTCATCAGTTTAAGTAACAAGGCAACAAATTTAGGGGTGTCACAGAGCAGAAACAAAACCTCCTTATGCTCCCGCAGCGGTACAAGGCACGAAGCAAGTGGTGAAGTGCTTTGGTGTATAGCGAGGAGGGAATTCTAGTGTTGCAAACCTTGGGGACCCTATCTCCTGCCCTCTCAATCTCATACTTTGAGGTTCTCCTCAGGCAGATTGGCCCTTCGTTATTTGCTTAAGGTCCATCGAGCGGGTAAGGCCTCAAAGCATACTTGCTGCTGGGCCTATATGTTGTCAATGGCCCATGGTCTTGCTGATTGGCAACATCTGCATAAGAGTGAAGTTGACTTGAGCAGCTCTCCCTGTAGGAATTGGGCAGCAGGCATGCGTATGAGACTTGTCTTATGGTGCAGCCTCTCCTTTCAGCTGGAACAAAGAAGCTGTTTGTGGAGCACACTGGAGAATCTCCAGTCTCTGGTGAGCTTTGAACTCGGTTGTTCTTTGTAGCCTGCCCAAGAGCAGCGATATGCAAAGTTTTGTTCTAAACTCTGCGGCCACTGAGCTGCTGGCAGTATGTGACTGTCTGGTTAGCTTGTATCCTTCCATGGGGCCCAGACTCTTCCACTTGCTGAGCCAACAGAACACCCCATTAGCAAAGGGCAGCCAAACCTACCTGTTCCGCGTTCTTATTGATCCCTTTGGGAGAAATAATCAAGTAAGTAAACACCCTGACTCAAGTACCTAAAGCACATTTTTCATTTTATTAGTTTGTCAAACACCCTCTATAAACCAGCATTGCCGAGAATAGTAAACTTTCCACCTGCTGCCAGAGAACATGCTGTTCCAATTTACCGTGCGAGGGGCTGAATGTCTCACGATTTGAGCCTCTCCCATCTCTTCTCTGCTTTGTAGCTCAAAAGTGAGGAGTCTAGTGGCAACTTTTTGCTTTTTGTTTCCAGGCTGTAGCTGTTGTTGCAGTTCGCAGAGTGAATAACCCTTGCAGGCACCCAGCTAGGAATAAAGGTCTGAGAACATGACAGATGTTTACCCCTAGGCAGGATCTTAGACATGATGGTGCATTTTTGCACCGTCTGGGGGTTGGTCCTGCTTTGAGCAGGAGGTGGGACTAGATGACCTCCTGAGGTCCCTTCCAACCCTGAGATTCTAGGATTCGATGATTTTCTTTTGGTATTTCTGTTGTAGTAGTGCCCAGAGGTCCCCTTCTGGGCCAAGCCTTATTGAGCTAGTCCAAGGATCGGAAACTTTTGGCCCGTGGGCCGCCAGGATAAGCCACCTGGCGGGCCGGGCTGATTTGTTTACCTGCCGTGTCTGCAGGTTCGGCCGAGGTGGCTCCCGCTGGCCGTGGTTCGCCGCTCCAGGCCAATGGGGGCTGCGGGAAGTGGCATGGGCCAAGGGATGTGCTGGCTGCGGCTTCCCGCAGCCCCCATTGGCCTGGAGTAGTGAACTGCAGCCAGTGGGAGCCGCGATCGGCCAAACCTGCGGACGCGGCAGGTAAACAAGCCGGCCCGACCCGCCAGGGGCTTCCCCTGCCAGGCC